TCCCCCCCCCCGGGGGGGGTTTTTTAAAAAAAAAAAAAAAAAAAAAAAAAAAAAAAAAAAAAAAAAAAAAAAAAGAGAGATTGAGAAGGAAGAAGGGACGACGTTTAAGCTGGTCCGTGACGTGGGATCGGTTACCATTGGTTCACCTGGTGGTCTGTGCTTCTGCAGGACTTCTAATCTAATCCGACAGGTCACCGATACGACAGACTCGGATTAACCGATGTTTTGTACAGGTTAGCCTACCGATTTTGGGCTCATAGTATCTTTCAACTTTGGGAATCCTTTATCTTGCTTTTTCTTGCCTCAATGATCACGTTAAACTGCGACTTTGTAAGCCGGTTCCTTTGCAAGGATATTTCCTTTCGGTAAAAACTCGTCCGCAGTCGCGCGTGGCACGCGAGAAAAATTGTTAATAAGATATTTAGTTGAAGATTAAGCTGATTTCTCTACAGAATTTTTTTCATTTCCTTTGCTTTATTGTTTCTTTATTGTTTCTGATTATTATTTCCTTTTAATTTTTAACATTTATTTTAAATAATCTATATAAATCGCGATAAAAAATCCAAGATAGAAATCTATTTATTATTTTATTGTTCCTTTCTTTCAGCAAATGAAGAACAAAAATGGCCGTTTTCGAGAAAGATAGAAGGCAACATTTCAAATTCAAGAGCGGTCACCGTCGAGATATGTAAACAAGAATTGACCAACGTGATCGCCATGGATGATCCATCTATCGATCGGCCGCGAGGCAACGTCGTTTTCGCGGAATCGATAAAACATAAGCAATGACTCGCGATCGCGTGATTAGGAACTCCGTGGAATATCTCATTGTGCACGAGTCTGCGATTTACGTCCATTCTTCACGGAGATTCTCGTACATTGACCTTAAACAGAATCCTGGGATCGATTCGCGGATCGATCGCATCGGTGTAAGAATAGAAATCGTTTGAATGACTCTTTTTTCGATAAGCTTATTTTATATCATAAAACTTTTATTAGAAAAGTTGTTTGTTCTAAATTCATCAAATTTATATTTGTTTCATTTTAACTGGTTACACATTATTATTTATTAAAATAAACTGCTTGTAAAAGATAAAATAAACGGTAGAAAGAGAGAGACGATTCGACAAAACGAAATATATATATATATATAAGATACGATATTTATAAAGGAATTCTATGGCGTTAGAAAAAATGCACGATATTCGTTTCGGATTTTACGGGGATTTTCCTCGAACACAGTATACGGAGCTCATTCTCGCAAGGACTAACCGAATTAGGATCTCTCGCCGAGTTGAAGACCAACGCCTTCTCGAGTACCCTTGAGATCGTTTCTCTTTTCACGATCATTTTCGATTCTTTTTTCCGCTGTGAGTGCGATTATCCTTATAGCGGTACACGCGGTCGCTTTCGACATTTCGTTTGCCCTCCTCTGGATGCTCTCCAGAGACTTTTTAAACTGGCCTTTTACGGGCTCGTGCCTTAAAAGTCGATGTATGAATACATCGAGCGAGAATTGTGCTCAGTCGGGTTTTTAAAATATTTTAATCCTTATAAATCACACCGAAGAGAGTAACCGTTAAAAGTTATTACCTGCACGAATAAATTATTGTTTACGTAATACTGTTTAATTACATTTAATATCTTAATAATAAAATTTTAATAATGGAATAAGAATGTCGAAAAGTCACGACGATATTATCCACATTAACAGTGTAATCCGGATGCCACTGTTTACCATAATAAACGCAATACAGTTCGCGATGATTGCGTCAGTAAAATTAATGACGCCAAGCGGCAGTTCCGCTCAGGGATTTTAGAATGATCGATGATGCTATAACAATATTCACACGGGGTTCTCTATAACTCTCTCTCCGGAGATCATAAAATTCAACTCACGATTGAATTCCTTTCGTTCCTGCTGTTACCTCGATAGTTATCCCGCGCAACTCGAAATGGCAGCAACGCGATATCACGATAGCTCCATTTAAAGACCGACATTAGAGAGACGCTGAGAAAAATCGACGGAAGGGGACTCGGTTGTAAAGGTCGATAGACTACCCACAGTCGTATTATGCGTTGTAACGTGTTACAGCAACGGAACGCGCGTTATACAAATGTGTTACGTGTTTAAATAGCGGCCGATGCCGTTGGTTCAAATCGAGACATTATATAGGGTTTCTCATTTTCCTCGGTTATATACCCAGGGCGTAGGGAGAGATGCTTATCGAAAACCGAGGGCTTTGTGTTAAAGAGCCTAATTTCCAAATGAGTTATTACCTATAAAACGCGCGCGGTCCTCGAGCGGACGGTAATATTACCGCAGTAATAAACGAGCATTTATGGTGAACCCCGAGAGACCCCTCCTCCCCCCAACCCTCAGAGTCTGGTCTCTTTTCTCTCCTTTCTCGACTCTCTGGTAGTTTATCTTTCCAGTTCTCTTTCCACAGAAGCGAACGCGTTATACAACAACGATGTAAATGTAAATAAAGCTTCGCGCCGAGGGTGGAAAACTTACTCGTCTTTCTTTCGCGGTCGGACGCCGATTGAGACGTTTACGATTTGCATCGCAGCACAGTAACCGCGTTTAATTAATTAGCGTGCAACAATGTGGGGCACGGCGAAAGTCGTGCGCGATGTAACTTGAGAAAAACGCAAACCGCCTGTAGTGTAATTAACGCGTACACGCTCCTTTTAAGGTGCGGCTAATATCGGCGTATAATATCATCTGTGAACATATGCGTCTATGAATTTAGAGAAAATATTTATAAATACAACTTTTATATAATTTCTCTTATGTTTTATAAGTTTTATAAGAGCTTAAAAAATTTATTAAGAATTAAAATAT